AGGGTTGCTATGGGTCGGAACCAGCTCGATGGCACTTAACAACAACGTGAAAAAGCTCCTAGATTTATTGAATTTTGAGTCCCATCTGCAGTTGCCTTGGCAGGGCCAGATCAGATGATTTTGAGGGTTTATATGACCCATGGGCTGGACATTCCCCACCCCTGCTCTATAGGCAAGAACATTGGTATCAGGATATATACTTATGCCCTAGCTCTGCTACAGCTGTGTGACCTCAAGCAAGTCCTTAGCCTGAGTTGTACTAGTTGATTCCTAAAGTCCTTTCCAGCTCTAAATATGAATGAGTCCTAGTGCAGATCACAACTAATTGTCTTTTTTCCTAATAACATTGTCCAATTTTCCATTTCATTTAATAGTTCTGAAGTGACATTTCCCATTTCCTTTTGCTTTGAATAATCATTACAAAATGATTTCCACACTCTGTGTCAAGAGAGATTTAACTGAACAAAGAATGGTTATATGCTTTTTAAATAGGACCTTCCCTATTATAGAAGGAGCCCTGGTAGCTCTGTAGGAAAAGCACTGGACTGCTAACCACAAAGTCAGCAGTTCAAACCCACCAGATGAAGCTTTCTGCTCTTGTAAAGATTTACAGCCTCAGAAACCCAGTATAGGGTTACTGTGAGTCGGAACTGACTCAATGGGAGTGGGTGGATTCCCTATTATAGTGATTTCTTCCCCTCTTTTTTGTTTTTCTTCTTTCCTCCCTTTTTATTCCAGTAGTCTCCCAGTTGTTTGCATGTCAAGAGAGCTGTCACCCAGTGCATTGTGCAAAATTGTCTCAAAAAAGGAGCTGGGGCTGAAAAAATCTCAGTGGAAAGAACAAAGATGGCGAAGCTTTCTGGGTAGCCGTGACCTTTTAAGAATCCCTGCCAAAACTAAGGGTGGGAAAGAGAGTTTCCTTTTCATGCTGGCTTTGAATGGAAGAATGAACATTTTTTAAGTCAGTTAAGTATAGAGTGTTAGAAAACAGCTTCTTCTGCTCTTCAAACTCTGGCTAGTATACAGGGTGCTTAACTTCAGTTGCAGACCAAGTGAGATAACTTTAATGACTAGATTTTGAACACCTTGTTGGCAGGGAATATGTATTACTCACATTTACATCCATAGTGCTTAGCAGCAGGAGTCCTGGTGGTGCAGTAGTTAAGCACCTAACTGAAAGACTGACCTTTGGAACTTACAGCCACTCCTCACTCTGTAGGAAGAAAATACAGCACTCTGCTTTTGTAAAGATTGTTCTTAGTGCTATCAGGTCAGTTCTAACTCATAGTGGCCTTGTATAAAGTTTATGAGACTGTAAATCTTTCCAGAATCAGAAAGTCTCATCTTTTTTCCTATGAAGCAGCTGGTGGGCTCAAACCACCAACCTTGTGACTCTAAATCTAGTCTTTATTCTACAGAGACACCACGCTCTGTAAAGATAATAGCCTCGGAAACTCTTTTGGGCAATTCACCTCTGATCTATAGGGTCTGTGAGTCAGAATCAACATGTCAAAATGATGGCAGTAGGTTTGGGTGTTTGGGGAATGCTTAGTGAAGAGCCATGTACCTATTAAGTGCTCACATTTTTGCTTGATGTGTGTGTCAACCATGTAAATGTGCTGCTCTGACCTCCTGCTGTAGGAAGCATAACTGAGTGACAGCCCCAGCTGCTACCCAACTGGGGTCCATCACCACATTTGCACAGACGCCATGCTTTTGAGGCTGCTCCCAGCCAATAACTGAACACAGTGGGATTAATAAGGCAGGCCGGTTCTGGTGAAATATGGGACTCCTTTGGCTCAAGGGTTTCCTACTGGCCTGCCCACCCCTTCTTTGGAATTGCACTGCAGTCCGAGACTCTCTTAACCAATCCGCCTCCTTATCCCCTCTTTTTCCAGAGGTGTCAGACCTTCATCTTAGTCTGAAGGCTCTCCCCAACTTCTCCTACTCCCTCCCCAGTAAGGAAGTCTCTTGCATATCTATCCCATCTTGGTGTTGTCTTAGCAGACCTGAACTAATACAATATGAAAGAATGAATAAATGAATCTTTGTTGTTACTTTTTAAAAAAACCTGAGGGTTTGGTGGTTAAGGGCTCAGCTATTAACTGAAAGGTCAGCAGTGTAAACCCACCAGCTGTTCTGTGGAAGAAAAATGTGACAGACTGCTTATATTAAGATTTTCAGCCTTGGAAGCCCTATGGGGCGGTTCTACTCCAGCTTAGAGGGTCACTATTAGTCAAAATCGACTCAACAGCAATAGATTTGTTGTAATTATGTATAGGAGAGTAGTCATGTTGCAAAATATTGGAGAATGTGTGTGATAATTTATTTTATGAGACTTTAGTTAAAGACATTTGAAATGTTTAGAACCCAAGGTGATCCTTTCCAAAGGTAAATCAGTCTCATCTGTCCTTCTGTTTAAAATCCTTCCTTGGCTTCCCACCCCTCTTGGGATAAAACCAACATTCTTTAAGTCCTACAAGGCCTTACATGGTCAGGTCCCTGCCTCGTTTTGCAACCTTCATCTTGCATTATACTTCCCCTCACTCACTCTTCTAGCCACACTGGTCTTCTTTTCATCCCTTTATTCACTGTTATGGATTGAATTGTGTGTTCTAGAAATGTGCTGCAAATCTCATCCTTTATCCTGTAATAATCATTTCCTTTGGGAATGGGTTGTTTTTGTTATATTAATGTGACAGGATTAGTATAGGGTGTACCTATACTATAAAAGAGATTAAACAAGCAAGTGAAGGAAACAGATATGGGGTGAGACAGATACCAAGACACATGAAGATCTCCAAGGAACTAGGAAGCAAAAGGTGAAGATACAAGGATCTCCCTCCAGAACCAACAGCAATGCTGTGAATTTGGACTTGTAACCTCCTACACTGGAGTCCTGGTGTAGTGCTATATAGTATAAGCACTGGACTGCTAACCACATGGTCATCAGTTCAAACCCACCAGCTGCTCCTCACAAACAGGGTCACTGTGAGTCAAAAGTGACTCAATGATACATAACAACAACAAAAAGCTGTAAGAAGATAAATTGCTGTTTGATAAAGCCTCCCTCCTACTTACGGTATTTCTGTTATAGCAGCACTCGATAACTAAGACACTCACCATGTTCCTTTCTGCCACAGAACCCTTGCACATGCTGTCCTTCTTCTGCTCAGAGCACTATTCTCTCTCTTTGTGTTATGCTATCCTACTTATCCTTCATATTTGAGCTTAAACATCACTTTCTCGGAGTTACTTTCTTTGGCCTTTGCTTCCTGTGGGTTAATGCACTGGACTGCAAAGTTGGTTTGAGCTGCAAGGTAGGTGTTTCAAGCTCACCAGCGGCTCCTAGGAAACCATATTCACGGTTACTATGGGTCGGAATCGGCTCGATGGCATTTAACAACAGCAACAACAACTATTCCTCCATAGCACTTGCCACAGTTATAGTTTTGTTTGTTTGACATTATTAACATCTCTCGTCCTCTTTAGATTGTAAGCTATATAAGGGAAGGAATCATGTGTAGTCTAGCATAGAGTAGGTGCTCAATATATATTTGTGAAATGATTCAGCCCAAGTATTATGAGATGGGAAGAAGTGTTCTGGAATACAGTATCAGGTCTAGAGTTTGATTTTTCCCTGCTTATAACTAATAGGTTAGCTGGGTTTTGTCCTATGGATACTGGCAGAAGTCATAAGACTTCTGGATCAGAGACAAAGAACTTTATTACACATAGTAAAGCAAGTAACATGAGCACCATGCTTGTTTGTGTTGGTTCCCCTGGTCTTCCAAGTCCATTGTGGAGGATTCAGATAGCTGCTTCCTCATGCTATGGGTTGCATTCCAGGAGAGGTACACTGAGCTTGGGGAATCCATTATTGTCTAACAAGCAGAGAGAGTTACAACTTGCTGCAAACACAACTGTTAAGATATGGTCCAGGTAAAGAGAAGTCAGGGTCTTGTATTCTTGTCATACTCAGAAAGATATGAAGGGACAAAAGAGAACAATGGAGGAATGTCTCCCAACAAACTTTTCTTCCAAATCTCATTTCTACCCAGTATAGAAGCTTCAGAAGAGAAGCTCTCTCTCATAGTTATGCAAGTAGTGAACTGGATGAAAAAGGAATGTGCCATGGTTTTACTTATGGGGATCATAGGCTGGAGAATGACTAGTAGAGTCTTAGTTCTTTGAGAGGAATGATTGCATAATGGTTAAGAACATTGATTTTGGAACCAAGACTGCCTGTGTTTGAATTCTAGTTCTATATTCTGACTTTTATAACCACTCTATGCCTAAATTCTCTCATCTGTAAAATGGGAATAATATAATTAAGTAGGTAAAGCACTGATGGGAATATGTGCTCACTAAATGCTCGTACTTTGAACCGTAAGGTTGGCAGTTCAAAATGACCAGCCACTCCTTACACACCCTATGTTGTTGTTGAGTGCCATCAAGTTGGTTCTGACCCATAGCAACCCTGTATAGGGTTTCCAATGAGCAGCTGGTGAACTTGAACTGCCAACCTTGCAGTTCAAACCGATTTTGCAGTCTAGAGTCCACCAGGCTACACCAGGACTCTCAGAAACCCTATACAGAGGCACTATGAGTCAGAACCAACTTGGTGGCACTTAACAACAACAATTATTCTCAGCCTGCTGACTTATTGTAGGATAATCTTCTTGCATTTCATCAGTCAATGACAGTGGTCTGCTGACCTTGGAAACTCTATCTCCAATATTTAAATTATTTTCCTTTGGTGTTTAGGACTAATCCAAATGAGAATTAAAGAAGTATGAGAAAAGGTTAGGTATCCTCTGGTCATCTCTTCCTATACAGATGAATTTACTCACATTCTTAAGTTTATTAACGTAAAAGCTTTTAAGTAGTAATAATAGGGAGCCAGGAATGGACTCTTAATGGAGGCATAGGTACTTACTGAAGCACAGTACCATTTGGAGGTGTTTGCCTTGCTCACCTTACTGTTTTTCTTTTTGTAGTGAATGTGGTGGAGGCGCTTCAAGAATTCTGGCAGATGAAGCAGTCCCGTGGGGCTGATTTGAAGAATGGGGCTCTAGTGGTTTATGAGATGGTACCTTCCAACAGCCCTCCATATGTCTGCTATGTCACTCTGCCTGGGGGAAGTTGCTTTGGGAGTTTCCAGGTAAGAGTTGCCAGGCAGCAATAGTAAAGATAAATGCTTAGGTGCTAATAATGATTTTCTCCATTATTTGATCATTACATTTTTTGTCTGAAATCAAATATTTGATGACCTGACCAATTCTGGGCAAATTATTTGGCAAGCATCTGAGGTTCATCTGACCACAAAAGAACCTCAGTAGCATGCTTTTCTTTGAGGCTATAAATACTCAAACCCATTTTGAATCTGTGTAGTTACACCTTTTACTATACCTTTTGTTCCATATATCTCAGACCACTAACTTTAACTCCTATTCGGAGCTAGCTTCTATTATTGCTTTCCAACTTCCTGCCATCTCCTTCTGAGGATTTAGAATAATGTTTATTACCCCTAGTCAGTTGCTAAAGAAAGCGATGTATGAGTTCTCTAAGATATCAAAGGAGAGAGGGACTATGTATGGTGAAAAGATATAGTACTCATCTAAAAGTTAGGAAATGCACTGGCTAGGCATTGAACCCAGATCTCTCCCGTGGGAGGTGAGAATTCTACCATTGAACCACCAATGCCTTCTTAGAAGAATTGATGCTTTTGAGTTATGGTGTTGGGGGAGAATATTGAAAGTACCATGGGTTCCCAAAAGAACAACAGATTTGTGTTGGAGGAAGTGCAGTCATAGTGCTCCTTGGAGGCCAGGATGGCCAAACTTCGTCTCTCATACTTCGGACATATTGTCAGAAGGGACCAGTTACTGGAGAAGGATATCATGTTTAGTAAAGTGGAGGGTCAGAGAAAAAGAGGAAGACCCCCAACGAGATGGATTGGCCAAGTGGCAGCATTGATGGACTCAAGCATGGCACAGCAGTGAAGTTGGCCCAGGATAGGACAGTGTTTCGTTCAGCTGTGCATACGGTCGCTATGAGTCGGTACCAATTCAATGGCACCTAACAACAACAACAAAAGTTGGGACCTCGAAATTCTTATTCCCTTGACTGCCAGCTGGGTAATTAAGGTAACTTCTGTGGGACTCAGTTTCCCACCTATAACGTGAAATAGGTAGACCAGATTATTCCGAAAGTATTTTTTAGTGTTAAATTCCTACTGTTCTATGAAAGACCTGTAATATATGACAATGAAAAAGTAATTGTTCTTATGTGATAAAAAAATTTGACTAGTATGGATATGATCATCAAAGGTGAATTTTGCACATTCAACATTCTGAATTGTCAACCGAGGGTCTGAACAGGAATTTAAAGAAGAAAACAGACACCTTTGTTCCGTTTTCCATATGGTTTGTGGAACCAACCCTTAGGTAAGATTAGATCCATTACTATGTACTTCCTTGGTACTATGAACTATCATATCATGTATAACATCATATTGTAATTGATTGTCTCTCTTAGTAGAGTATGTGCCATAGAGGCAGAGAGCATGCCTGTCTTTCTGTCAAGTCCCTACCACCCAACTCTGTGCCCAGTACATTGTTGTTGTTAAGTGCCATGGAGTTGGTTTCAGCTCATAGTGACCCTATATAGAGTTTCCAAGGATACTGGTGGGTTTGAACCGCCAACCCTTTCATTAGCAGGGTTCCCTAGGCACCATAATGTTGTTGTTAGTGTCGTCGAGTGGGTTCCAACTCATAGTAACCCTGTATAGGGTTTCCAAGAGTGGTGGTGGGTTTGACCCGCCGACCCTGCAGTTCAAATTGACCTTGTGGTCCAGTGTGTTATCCTACAGCGCCACACCAGAACTTCACCAAAATGCTATGTTGTTGTTCTTCAATGCCGTCAACTTAGTTTCAACCCATCATGACCCTATCTAGGGTTTCAAAGGAACAGCTGGTAAGCTTGAACCACTGACCTTGTGGCCCAAACTAGCTTTGCAGTCCAGCATATTAAACTACAGTGCTACACCAGGACTCTACCTGAGCTCTGTGTGGTTGTTGTTAAGTGCCGTGGAGTTGATTCTGACCCATAGCAACCCTGTATTGGGTTTCCAAGGATCAGCTGGTGTGTTTGAACCACGAACCTTGCAATTCAAATGACTTTGCAGTCTGATGCATTAGCCCACAGTGCCACACCAGGACTCTATATAGTAGGCATTTAATATATGTGTTTGTATAAATGAACCCCACTGCAGCTCAGTTCCTTCTCAAACAAAAATATTTCTAAGAAAGTTTCATTTTAAATTACAGGACTAATTTTTTCCCTCAGAATCCCAGCCATTTCAGAGAAGTAAATAGAATATATGTCAGAATGATTAATGTCTATGTTTTCTCTTCTTGTAGAATTAAGTTCTTTCCTTCCTTTTCTCACCTCTTTACAACATTGAATAAGGGTTTGAAAACTTTATGGTGATGCCCATAACTAGATCATGATAGTAATTTGATTTCTGTTTTCTGAAAGAGTAGAATTATCTATTTTAGCCTCTTTTAGCTTACACCTTTTATATCCATGTTGGCAGGTAACATTTCTCCCTGTGGTATTCTTCACAAATGACTTTTTCAAAAAATAGTACTATTATAGTAGCAGTAGGCCAGTGACTATAGAGAGAAGTACAAACAGAACTTGAAGCAGCAAGAATACTTAGGGTTAGTTAATGTACCAAGCTCCATATGCTCCTGTCTCCGAGAGAGTTGTCAGCTAAAGGAAACTGAGAATTATTATTGATAGTAAGAATGATGAACTAGTAAACATATCCCAGATTACTTCTTTAAACTGTAAAATCACTTTCTTCCTTTTCTTCAATCCTAATCATAATGACAAAGGACACAGAAGCCTTTGAGGCAGCCAGAAGATGAATTATAAAGGACAATTATGGTACCAGGAGTCCTAGTGTGGCGCTATAGGATAAGCACTGGACCCCACAATGTCAGTTTGCATCACAAGGTCGGCGGTTCAAATCCACTAGCCACTTTTTGGAAACCCTATACAGGGTCACTATGAGTCAGAACCTGCTTGATGGCACTAACAACAATAACATTATGGTACCTAGTAGGGAATCCTGGTGTGGTGCTGTAGAATAAGCACTGGACTGCTAACTGTATGGCCAGCCATTGAAACCTACTGGCTACTCCTCCGAAACCCTACTTGATGGCACTTAACAATGTAACAACAACAACAGGGATCTACCGTTGATTGATTTTAAACTTACAAAATCAGACTTGTTCTTTGATCCCTGTGTTGAATACAATCTAAAACAACTGATTTTTCACTTTTTCTTTCTTTCCATGGTTCAACTTTCCTTTCCCTAGCCACTCCTTTTCTCCTCACTTCCACTTGAAAATATAAATGACTATAAATTCCTTCTTCAGACTGTATACCTGTTCAGGGATAGCTTCTTTGGCTTACTATATTACTGGGGAAATGCCTGCTTACAACTAAAAGTGAAGTCTAAGAATCCCAAATTAGAAGGCTTTGCGGAAGCAGCCTCAACACAGCTTTGTTCTAATTTCGAGTCCTTTTTAGTTATTATTAAGTACCATCCAGTTGGTTGCAACTCAGAGTGACCCTATGTAGGGTTTCTAAGAGCTGCTGGTGGTTTGAACTGTCAACCTTGATGTTATCAGTCCAGTGTTTATCCTATAGAGCCACACTAGGGCTCATTTGGGTCCTCTGTTGGTGTTAAGTGTCATCGAGTCGATTCTAACTAATAGCTACCCTCTATGAGGTTTCTAAGACTGTAAATCTCTACAGGAACAGAAAGCTTCATCTTTCTCCCACAGAACCACTGTTAGTTTCGAACTCTTGACCTTGAGGTTAGCAGCCCGACTTGTAACCACTATACTACCAGAGCTCCTTAATGAGTACACTAGAAGGATCCCAAACCACCTTGCCTGTCCACAGAACAAGAGAACAAGATACAGATTTCTAACAGGGCGGCTAGAATCTAGCTTTTGAGTAATTAATTCTGTTGACAGTTTAAACCGGTGTATTCATCATGTCTGTTGATTATATGCTGACTTCAGCAGTCGTCCTTATTCTGCATTCAATTTGGTGTGGGCTATAGCAGTCTCCAGTTCTTTAATGACTTCAGGATGTTGAATCAAAATTGTGTTTCCACATACCCCAGCCATTTTCTAATAAAACCTTTGAAGAGTGTATTGAACATGAGTCCAAAGTATTTTCTGTCCCGAGTGTTCTCTTCTTGACGTTCCTTTCTCCATCAGACATGCACACCTATTTTCTTTTCTCTCTCCCCTGCCCAGTTTTGCCCCACAAAAGCTGAGGCCCGGCGAAGTGCTGCAAAGATTGCACTAATGAACTCTGTGTTCAATGAACATCCTTCCCGGAGAATCACTGATGAGTTCATTGAGAAGAGTGTCTCTGAGGCCCTGGCATCTTTCAATGTAAGTTATTGGAGTTGGAGGGCAGAAGAGTGGGGGATGGGAGAGCTGGCTGGTTGAGAAGTCTTATAAATGACTGGGGAACGGAGCATGAATTCTTCGCCTTCCTGCCTCTGTTCTTCCTATTTATTCTTACCACTCTTTTGTGTTTCATGTACCATGTATCTGTTTTGTTGCTTTCATTGTATGTCTTTGGTATCTAGAAACCTTTCATTGAAGATTTATGAAATTCTAGTGATATTCCAAAACTTTGAGCTTGAATTTTGCTTTTCCCAATTTTGGTTTAAAATTTCGTCTCTTCTTCCTTCAGTGTTCCTTTTTTTAATGCCTCTTTTCTTTTCACACTAGTCTCTTGCCTCTATTACATTATCTTATTAATAAAGAGCCCCTTTATCATGAGTGACTTATTTTCTTTCCTTTTTAGGATAAGGAGGATAATGTATTTGCTCTCTAAAAATATCTGGTTTTTTTTCAAGTGATGATGATAATAATAATCATATGTAATCTCAGTTGAATATTTACCTTGTGCTAGGTACTATTTTAGATGTATTTTATCTCATTTGATCGTAACTACAATCCTATGAATATTATTATTACCTCTGTTTTATAGATGAGAAAATTTAAAACACAGAAGTGAAGTAATTTACCTAACGTGACAAAGTTAGTAAGCGGTAGAACCAAGACTAGAACATGGACTGCTAGAAAATATACCTTTTCTAGCATTGGCATCTTATAAGTTAATTTGCCTTTTCCCCTTCCCCACAAATTCATTGATAGTGTGATCAAATCAATTTTCTATTTTTTTTTCCTTTGCTTTTAGTTAAGATGTAGCTGTTGTTATTATTAGGTATCATCAAGTTGATTTTGACTCATAGCGACCCCATATGACAGTAGAAGTGCCCATAGGCTTTTCTAGTCTGCAGTCTTTAAGGCAGCCGACTACCAGATCTTTCGCCCATGGAACCAACGGGTGGGTTGGAACCACCAACCTTCAGTAACAGCTGAGCACTTAACCATTGAGAAAGATGTAACTACATATACTAAATTTTGTTATGTTTTGTGAATTAGTCATTAAGTGTTTAAAATTATAGCTTTACTTTACTGCTACCTAAAATCCATCTGTTTATCTTTTTTAATATTAACCAACCAAAAAACAAGCCAAACCAAACCCACTGTCATCTAGTCGATTCCCACGGATAGCAACTGTGTTTCTGAGGCTATGAATCTTTACAGGAACAGAAAGTCTCATCTTTCTCCTGCAGAACAGTTGGTAGGTTTGAACTGCTGACCTTGTGGTTAGTAGTCCAGTGCTTATTTGCAGCACCACCAGAGATCCTATATTAACCAAAGGCAATTAAAATTAGGACAGTGATACATTTACTACTCTTACATTACCTAATGTATTATAAAATGAAACATTACTTTGGATTATGGAAAACAGGATATATGATGGTTACAAGCATAGACTCTGAATTGTTCTGAAACTTTGGTTCAATTCACCATGTGACTTTAAGGAAGTTATTTAATGTAAATCTTAGTTTTCTCATCTAGAAAATATGATAAAAATCATGCTTGTCACATAAGGTTATTATGATAATAAAAAGAGATCATGCATTTAAGTATTCAGTGCATGTTATCTGTTTAAATGCCTTTGAATGCAAATAATAGAAAATCTCACTTCAAACTGATGTAATGAAATAAACAAAGGAAGGAATTTGTTATCTAATATACAGGAAGTCCAGAAGTAGGGCAGATTTCACAGCTGGTTGATATTCCATAGACCAAGGATGTTTTAACTACCTGGTGCTGCCGTAACAGACAATGCCACAATCGGTGACTTTAAAGCACAGGAATTGATTTCTAACAGTTCAGGAGGCTAGAAGTCCAAATTCAGGGTTTGGCTAGGGGAAAATAGGGTCCTTCCTTATCATTGGCCACTGGAGCTCTTTGGCAGTCTTTGTATTCCTTGGCATTTCTTAGTGTTATTATTACCTTGGAGATGGGTACTGTGTGGAACTGGCTGGAAAGAAGAACAACTTCTCAGAAAGCAGGAGGAAGAATCTAGGTACTGTTGTTCCCACTGGTCTCCTAGCCTTGTACAGTTCAGTGCTAAAAGGGTCATCAATAAATTAGAGATACTTTTGTTTTAGAAGTTCCATTCAGTCCCAGGATCTGGAATTATTCCCAATAACATTACAACCAGAATGAAAAAACATCACCTAATGGCACCACATCACATTTGGTACCAGACTGATTTGGACTGTGTAACTAGACATCAGGTCCAGTACAACATGTACCCAGATTTTATGCAATTGAAGCTTTTATATCACATTCCTTTTGCAAGATTTTACTGTAGTAATTAGTCCTCAAACAGCCTTATAAAGCATGTCTGTGACTGTTTCCATTTTACAGATGAGGAGACTGAGAAACAGAGAGGTTAAATGATATCATCCATCAAGGCCAAATGACTACTTCATGCTCTTACCTTCTGTTGTTATTGTTGTTAGGTGCTGTCGAGCCAATTTCTGACTCATAGTGACCCTACGCACAACAAAACGAAAAATTATCCCGTCCTAAGCCATCCTCATAATTGTTGTCACATTTTTAGCCTGTTGCTGCTGCCATTGTGTCAGTCTATCTTCTTGGGGGTCTTTCTCTTTTTCACTGACTCTCCACTTTACCAAGCCTGATGTCCTTCTCCAAGGATGAGCCCCTCCTCATACGTCCAATGCATGTTAGAAGAATTCTTGTCATTCGGCTTCTAAGGTGTATTCTGGCTGTGCTTCTTCAACAACACATATGTTTATTCTTCTCGCAGTCCATGATACTTTTAATATTCTTCCCCAACACCATAATTCAAATGCTTCCTTATTCACTGTCCAACTTTCACATGCCTGTTAGGTGATTGAAAATACCATGGCTCCTTACTGCTCAAACTGATATCTTAATTCCTGAACACTTTAGAGAGGTCTTGTGTAGCAGATTTGCCTAATACAGAATGTCATTGGATTTCTCGACTGATGTTTCCATGAGTGTTGATTGTGGATCCAAGCGAAATGAAGGGTTTGACAACTGCAGTCTTTTTCCATTTATCATGATGTTATTTATTGGCTCAGTTGTGAGGGTGTTTGTTCTCGTTACATTGAGGTGCAGTCCATACTGAAAGCTATACATTTTGCTCTTCAGCAGTAAATATTTTAAGTCTTCTTCACTTCCAGTAAGCAAGGTTGTATCATCTGCATATTGCAGATAGTTAATGAGTCTTCTTCCTTCAATCCTGACACTACATTCTTCTTCGTATAATCCAGTTTCTCAGATTATTTGCTCAGCATACAGACTGAATAAATTTGGTGAAAGAATACAAAACATGGTGCACCTTTCCTGATTTTCAACCATTCGGTATCCCCTTGTTCTGTTTGAACTGCTTCTTGGTGTAGGTACAGGTTCTTCATGAGCACAATTAAGTGTTCTGGAATACCCATTTGTCACAATATTATCCATAGTTTGTCATGATCCACATAGTTGAAAGTCTTTGCATAGTCAAAGTACAGGTAAACATCTTGCTGCTGTTCTCTGCTTTCAGCTAAGATCCCTCTGACATCAACAATGATATTCCTAGTTCCATGTCCTCTTCTGAATTTGGCTTGAATTTCTGGCAGTTCCGTCTTGATGAATTGTTGCATTTGTTTGTGAATTACCTTCAGTACAGTTTTACTTGCATGTTATATTAATGATGATTCCATCTATGTGTTTTCACACAACTTGTTGGGTCAGGTAACCAGTAGAAGACATACTAGGCAAATGTCCAGAAGGTCAAGCTGCTACACAGAATTGCCCATGCTTCAGTCTTACACTGTTCCCCTTTAAAATGCATTTACCAATTTATTCTCTAGGCTAGTCCAATTCTATATGCCAAATGTACCTATACCATTTTTTATCTTTAAAGTTTTTATTGTGAATTGAGTTAAGATTTTCAGACCAGACCATCACTTTTACATTCAACAAATTATATATTTCATTTATGTGATTGCAATCCCTTCCATATACCATCAGTTAGCAGTATTTACGTATACTCTTTAATTCTTGCTCTCCTCGTGTCTTCCCCTACCTTCATCTTTCTTCTGTCAGCCTCTCTCTAGTGGCTAGAGAACAGACACAAGTTAAGTTGAGTGATGGGGAAGGCAATATATTCTTTTGGCTAAATCAGGCCTCTTCTCTGTGCCTCAGTATTTGTAAATTGGAGTAAATCAGATTAACCTTTATCTGCTACTCCAGTTAAGTGTGTGATAGTCTTGGAGCCCTCAAGGTCTGAGCTAGTGAGCACTTGAAATGTGGCTAGCACTAACTGAAATGTGCTCTAAGTATAAAATAGACACCTGGTGTAAAAGACTTAGTATAAAAAAACAAAAAGTAAAACACCTCACTTTTTTTATATACAGATGAATACAGTTAAAATAATATATTGATTACATTGGGTTAAATAGAATATACTATTAAAACTAATCTTACCAATCTCCACTGAGTAGTATCCAATCTGTCTGGGCAGGGCTAATGAAAGGACATGGGGATAGGACTCTTGTGGTACAAGTGAATAATTGCTATCAGGACTGACCGTGAGGGTTGGAAATGTAAAGGTAGATGTTTTGTAGCAAAAGGAGGGGAGTGGTTGATTTTGCAGTCCAGTAGCGGAGGTCCCTAGGCCCATCAAGGGAGAAGAGCGGGAGTGAGGGACCCTACCCAGAGAAGCAGTGATGCCAGAGATAGAGGCAGAGAGGATGATGTGGAGAGATGGAGTGGCTGGGGACTCTAGACTCAGAGAGTGAGAGGGGCTATGTGTTGACGACTGTGCTGACCAGTGAACGAATGAGAAGCAGGCTTGCAGGGTGTACCCTTTGGTTATTTGATGATGCATGGAGGGGGATTGTAGTCATGGCAATGAAATGATACACGATAGGATGAATGTTCTCCTATGGAAGTGATCACATAATTCACAATAAAAACTTAAAAAGAAAAAAATCATTTTACCTATTTATTTGTACTTGAATGTGGCTACTACAAAACTTAAAATTATATGCGGCTTGTATCATATTTTGACTAGACATCACTGCTCTAGGTAATAAAAGTCCTGACTAATAGCCTATTTGTCCTTTTCTTTCCTCTCTTACCAGGGCAACAGGGAGGAGGCTGACAACCCAAATACAGGCATTGGTGCCTTTCGATTCATGTTGGAATCCAACAAGGGCAAGTCAATGTTGGAGTTCCAGGTACTGTTCTGCCTACTTCCCTGGCTCTAATAACCTTCTCAGGCTGCTACCATAGCCTACACTCTTTTCTCTACGTAAGCCATCCTTCCCATCCCCTTAGCTCCTTGTTTATCTTAGATGGGTAACCTCACAGACCATGACATTTTTACAATTGCTTGCAAAAAGGACTTTATAATCAATAAAATGCTATATAAGTGCATTTTTAAACAAAAGTATTTACTTTGTGCATTAGTTCTCCCTGAGAATGGATCTCATTGGAACAATAAACCAACTCCTCCTTAAAAATTTCTGTCTGGAAAACTTTGCATTCCATCTCATTTTCACTACATGACATGTTTCAAATATAAATAGCATTCTATCTAAGCAAGCTGTCTTTGCTCAACAATAGGTGCCTTCTGATTTTAAAGAGGATGTTAAAAAAACAAGAACAGGTAGTCTCCATAGTTCCTCTGTTTTGAAATTAAAGTCTGGTATTCCCTGGTAGCATAGTGGATTACACACTGAGTGCTGTTAACCACAAGGTCAGCAGTCCAGGCTCACCAGGCACTCCCCAGAAGAAAGGCGAGGCTTTCTACTCCTGTAAAGATTCACAGCCTCAGAAACCCTATGTTGTTAAGTGCTGTCAAGTCAGTTCTTATTCATAGCGACCATGTATAGGGTTTCTGAGGAGCCACTGGTGAGTTTGAGCCACCAACCTTGTGGTTCAAACCAACCTTGTGGTTGAGTGCTTATTCTACAGCACCACATCAGGACCCTATACAGGGTCATTATAAGTCAGAACCAATTTGAAGGCACACCACCACTAACTTTTCCCATCAGAGAAATGGTTAATGCCTCCTACTAATCCCTAATTCACTAAAATTCAACAGGGACATGAGGGCAAGAAAGTTGCATTCAAATATTTTTGAAAATATAAGTATGTTCCTTCTCCTGAGGGCATATCAGAATTGGTAATGAAAAATGCTTTTACAAATATGCTTTGTAAAAGGCTCCCCAGATAATTTTCATGCCTCCTCCCACTTTAAAGGCACTGCCCTGGCACTTTTATATCTTCTTCCTCCAGGAGCTAATGACAGTTTTTCAACTGCTGCACTGGAATGGCAGCCTTAAGGCCATGAGGGAAAGACAGTGCTCTCGGCAGGTAAGATTTCATGGGTGAGGCGGGTCTGACTGAGAGGACTATTTTGAGTTGACTGTTGTATTAGAAATATTCAGGCCTGTGGCTACCAGGTTATGACTATTAGGAACCTTATTTAAACAAGTACCTTTTTCACTCCTATAATCTTTCCTACCCAAATCTTCACTCTGTTTTGTTTTTGGTTTTTTTTTGGCCTGCCTTGTTTCTCCCACTGGGAAGTTCCCCATAAGAATCAAGTTAGAGGCCTTTGGTGCTGATTTCAGTTGGATTCTAAGGCTAAGAGTTCTTAGTCCAGTTGATCAATGTGATATGAATCTGTACCTTGCCAATGACCTTCACTTCCCTTCCCCCCACCCCCCAACCAGGAGGTGTTGGCGCATTATTCACATCGAGCCCTGGATGATGATATTCGCCACCAAATGGCATTGGACTGGGTGAGCCGGGAGCAGAGTGTGCCGGGGGCACTGTCTAGAGAGCTGGCCTCCACTGAACGAGAGCTGGATGAAGCCCGGCTGGCAGGCAAGGAGCTGCGCTTCCACAAGGAGAAGAAAGACATTCTCATGCTGGCTGCTGGGCAGTTGGGCAATATGCATTCCTCCAACTGCTAGGCATCTACATGTGCACCCTATCCTCTCCTGGCCCTTTTTTATATGTCTCCTTTCTAAGACTTAAGATCATTTCTGTACATACTTTCTCAATTTTATACTTTCAGATATAGATTTATATATATATATATGTATGTATATGTATAAATTCCACACCTGGATTCCTATTTGCTAAGAGCTTCCATTTATTATTTCCAACCTTTGGATGTAGTTTCATTTGAAACACCCCAATTCCAAGGATGTCTTTAGAGTACTGCTGGCTCTCACACTGTCACACTAACTCTGTGTAGCCACTTCAGTAGCACAACGTAACTGACTGCTCATGTCTCCATCTTTTAAAAGGACAGGTAGCCTAAATAAGGACTCCGTGTCCCACCCTCACCCTGATTCTTGCTTTCTCTTTGATTCATTCAGGGTATGAGTGTGAAGCCTTTGGTTTTGGTTTATTTTGCTAGACCTGATTGGGGAGAGCTTGATGGCTCTGTAGGATGAGCACTGAACTAGGAACCACAAGGTCAACTGTTCAAGCCCACCAGCTGCTTGCTTGGAGAAAGCTGAGACTTTCTGCTCTCACAGAGATGTACAGCCTCGGAAACCCTATATAGGGTTGCTATGAGTCAGAACTGAACTCTATGGTACTTAACAACAAAGATCTCCTTGGCTTGGCACTAAGTTGCTTCTCCAGTAAATTAGATCTTTCCCAAACCTAAACTCCACCTCTACCACTGTATCGGCCTACTCCTCCCCTGCCTCTAAATGCTACTTTTTTTTTTTAGGCTTCATTACTATTGAGGCTTGCCTTATCTGGTTTCTTGTTTTTAAATTACCCCTGAGAAACTGCCCAGGAACACGTGGAATATAAACACAATTCATGAGACTTTACCAGCTAGGTTGCTTCTAGGGCCTATCTATACCATATCAGTCCTCTAGGTTTCCAAGTACACTCCACACTACAGAGGGAATCAGGGTTAAAGTTACTTACCTTGAAATATTCCCTTTTCAATCTTCTCTGCTGCTGGCTCACTGAGCTTTAATCAAGCCCTGTGTTTAGATCTTCTGTGTCCTCCCATGTTACTCTTCAGAAACATGATCTGTCCTATGTTCCTTTCACTCCCACCAAGTTGCTGCTATTCACCATCCTGGGTGTATGTACCTTAGATTCTCATTTATTTTCAATGTTTTACTCTTCCTCCACATTATTAGAGCATGAGTTGATCAGGAAAATTCATTGAGACTTGGTATTATAGAATTTTCTATTGGAACCTTGGGAGACTGCAGGAGGGGAAAGAGGATCAATGATCTGACTAGCTAGTTGTGTTTTAATACTGTGATGTTCCCCAACCTCGCTTCTGGGAAATTCTCCTTCTAGTGAATATTTTGGGATTTTTCTCTTAAGATATATTTTCTCCTTGTTTCTATGATCTCTTTTATACTGTGTTGCCCAGTGCATTTTCTAAATTGACCTTGGGAGGTTTAATGCTCCTGCAATTGGACTTTCCATTTACCAATTATACATTTACTTTTAGAAATCGATAATGAGATAGGTCACAGTATGCTCTTTGGGATCAGATATGGGCAAGATAAAAGGCAGGTTTCTTGCTGTTGAAATCCTCTTGGTGATCAGAACCCAGGATCAGATGTAAAGGAAGCCAGCTATGGTTATATTAGTACTTGAAAGGGGGTTTCGTAAATTCTTCAAACTCCATCTCTCTGAATCACATGTAAAGTTGGAGTACAGACTCCAGATCTGCATAAATTTTAGGTGTGTCTATTTTATTTTTATTGCTATTCATAATTCAGAAGTCATAAGCCCTCCAGTTTCTCCTATGCTCCTTTCTCTGAGAAAAAGTGTTAAGGGGTCTGAATTGTGGGAAGAATTTTTCCTTGGACTTACCATTTTTCTCAAATACCAACCATTAAGATCCCAAAGAACTTAAGAAAAATTGTTCTCTGATCTGTTCATTTGGTGTTAAAGGTTTTTCTTATCTTTTTAGTATTTTCTATGCCTTTTCTATGTATAACTTTATACAATTAAAAATAGAATTTTGTCTAGTGAGCCAAATTGACTCTTTCTTGAAACCTCTAATGTATCAGAAGAGTTCCAAAATAAATGACCCTGTCTTTTACAAATATATTAAAAAGTAATTTCTTAGTAGTTGTTTTAGATGATAGAAATAAGATTGTATGTACTGCTAGGAAAACAGAGCTTGCCTAGCCCCTCCTCCTTTTTCTAAATGTAAGTAGCCGTGGATCTTTGTCCAATAGCTCTACCCACGCCCATTGGCAGTCTCACCTACGTGAAGGTTTCAACTCCAATGTACACACTGTTCTAAAATCAGTTTCTTCTATGCTAACCTGTTTTGAGATTTTTATCTTTATTTCCACCTACTGGACATTACCATATGAATGTGCCACAAGAACTCGAAATTCACACATCCAAAATAAAACTCATCTTATCCACACTTGCTCCTCTTAGGGCCCCAAAAACTTTTACTAGAATCGTTGTTGTTGTTAGGTGCATCGAGTTGGTACTGACTCATAGGGACCCTTTGCACAACAGAACAAAACACTGCCCAGTCCTGGGCCAACCTCACAATTGTTGCCACGCTCGAGCCCATTGATGCTGCCACTTTGCCAATCCATCTTGTTGGGGGTCTTCCTTTTTTCTCTGACCTTCCACCTTACCAAACATGATATCCTTCTCCAGCCACTGGTCCCTCCTGACAATATGCCCGAAGTATTAGCTACTTAATTATCTAAACTAGAAAATTCATATTCACCTCACCTTCCTTACTGCCATCCAATCACTGTACCTCCTATAGTTCATGTCCTTATAATCTCTGAGCTGGACCATTGTAATTATTTACTAACAGAGTTCTGCCTCCATTCTTAACTCCTTCCATATTACCCTGTTTGCTGTCTAAAACACATGTAACTATGCCACTTCCTCACTTAGTTACCTTCACATTCAACAGTGTTTTCTAGTTTATATGTGAACCTTTGGTTATCTGAGATGATTTTAGATGGTACATGAACAAGCATTTAAAAATTTTAATAAGTCTGCTTTTATTTGAAGTTGTAGTAGAAAATTAGTGCTTTTCATTTATGGTAGTGATATTAAATTTTTCTTTTAATGTAAATTTATGTTTAAAAAGTCAGTCTAAGGAACAAAGTATAAAAATAGTAATAAAATAAAAGACTATGCACATATTAAAGATCATGAATATTTGAAGTCTAAAATTTCTTGCCTACAGGATAAACTCCAAAATCCTTAGCATGACATACATTTTGACCCTAAACTGTGTTTCCAGCTTTATTCCCCAGTCACCCAACATCAGGTGTACAGAATATCTTGCCATTTTGATAGTCATCCATTCAACAAACATTTACCAAGTATCTACTATGAGCTAGCACTTAACTAATCTTTGGGGAAATAATTGTAATTTATGAGGCTTACATTCTAAAGGGGAAAACATTAAACCAGTTTAAAAGTAAACACAGTAAATAAAGATTCTAAGTTCTGAGATGGAAATAAATAGGTTGAAGAACAGGAAAGCAGAGGACTCCTTCAGGAGTGACAGTGGTAATGGGACCTAAAGAATGAGGATGACCCGGCATGGCAAAAACCAGCAAAAGAGCATCCGGAACAGAAAGTGCAAAGGCCCCGGGAGGAGAAAGATCATGCAAATCATAATTGAGGGGAAATGTAGCAAGAGCTCAACAGGTGAGAGGAATAATGCTAGTGGGAAAAGAAGATGGAGACATAGGCAGAGCAGGCTGTAATCATTTGAATTTTATTCTAAATGCCACACAAAGTCAAGGGAAGAGTTAGTAGATATGTAAGCAATTGATTTTGTAAAAGAAAGCTCTGCCTACTGCGGAAAGTAGGTTAGGGTCCCACAGTTTCAATATGAGTCTTGGTGTGGTGCTGTAGGATCAGCACTGGGCTAGGAACCATAAGGTCAGAAGTTCAAACCCACCAGCCCTATACAGGATTGCTATGAGTCAGAACCCACTCAATGGCTCTTAACAATAACAAATTTCAATATGGACTCCTGGTGTGGCACTGTAGATCAGCACTGGAATGTAAACCACAAGGTCAGCAGTTTAAACCCACCAAGCTGTTCCTTGAACACCCTATACAGGGTTGCTTTGAGTCAGAGCAGACTGGAGGCACTTAACTGTTAACTAAAATTTCAATATAAATGAGCCCTGGTGGTACCATTGGTTAGGCATTGGGTTGCTAACCACAAGGTCAATGGTTCAAGCCTACCAGCCACTCCTCTGGAGTAAAATGAGGCTTTCTGCTCCCATAAAGATTTATAGTCTTGGAAATCTATATAGGGTTGTTCTCAGAATTGACTTGATGGCAGTTGGTTTGGGGGTTTAGTTTCAATATAACTGCTTTGTCTGGAAAACTAAGTCCAGTTAAAATGCAAAACCCTTTCTTAAGCTAATCTTAACTGAGTCCTATTCTTTGTACCGTCTTAACACTGCCTCTGATAGCACGGATCACTTTTATAATAGACATGATTGTTGCTAATACAAGTGTCCTTGTTTTGCCAGTACCTCATCTAATATCAGAGACAAAATAAGCATTCATAATGGTTTGATTGAAGAGTCCTGGTGTGGCGCTGTGGGCTAATGCTTCAGACTTCAAAGTCATTTGAGCTGCAAGATAGGTGGTCCAAGCTCACCAGCTGCTCCTTGGAAACCCTATACAGGATGGCTATGGTCAGAATTAACAGCACTTAACAACAACAATGGCTTGATTAATAAATTAAGTGAACCTGCAGTTTACTAATTTACACTGCAATTACTGAATTTCAGTACAGGTTTTGCCTCAACTCAGACATGAAATATCTTCACCATTCCCAAAGAAAGCAAAAGATCCTATTTTGTTTAAGGCCATGACTCCCCCTCAGAAGTGGTAAGGAGTTTGGGAGGCGTTTAACTGTAAACACACTTTGATGCCTGTGACATGAAGGTTTTATGTCAACTTGACTGTGCCAAGATTTTCAGTGGTCTAGCAGTTAAGACGTAAGCCCCTATGATGAGATCTAATAAAATGTAATCACTTCCATGGTGACATCTGTGAGCAGCCAGCCAATTGAAAGGAAGTTTCCTGCTTCCAATATATTAGACACACAGGCAAAGTTTGCTGGGGTTTACTGAGTCTGGATCCTCCATCTGGTTTGTCATCTGCCCTCTGATTCTTTGGATTTGAATCAACAGTCTGCCCTATTGCCTGATGATTCTGGGAGTCAACAGCCTTCTGTTTGACCTGCCAATCTGGAAGTCATCAGC